CCGGTACTCCTCTCCCCTACATGGCTGCTACTCTAATTCCAACTGCGCCAACCACCTTCTCTTCCGTTTTCTTGAAGATGTAATTAGCAAAGGCGTTTCTGGACTTTTGATTGGTCTTTTTGTCCGGAAATTACCTGGACAAAACCATCATCAGCCCCAGGGATGGGCTGAGGGGGCAAAACCACGACATTTCATTACTTATTCAAATGTATAGCCTAAAGTAGTAATAAGTGAATGTCATGTCTATTACTAGTATATGGAATTTCTAAATTTTCTTTAAAAAAGGCCAAAATCCTGTTAAGATATATTTTTTTTTTTATTCGCTCAGGTGTTTTGTTGGACATTTAGCTATGACAGATGGACTGTAAATGTTATGTGTTGAAATATGTTCTAGAAAACATAATCATAAATGCATGCCTTAATTCTCCTTCTATGAGGGTTTCAGTGCAAGTTACGCATAGATTGGGAGTTCTTGAATTATTATATGAACGCTTTTGTTAATATATTATTACAAAAAAAGCTAAAAATTCTAGTCCACCCATGGAAAAGAGGATGAATGACTGTAATACCACAAATAGTGCCTAAACAGCTAAGTGCCTCCTCCTAGTTATGTATTGTGTGGCATAAAGCAGATCAGTGGCATTTCTGTCCTGCCTCTGCTTTTGTAGCACACAAGTGTTTCTAGGATAGTGCTACTTAGATCAGCTGAGGAACATCCTGCAGAGAGACAGGTTCCTACAGTTTTTGGTAAGATAACTGTGGTGGCTTTTTTTAAATTATGGTGGATATGTTGCCTTTTTTATAGCTGAGAAGCTTCAGCTGATTGATGAGCAGTTTGCGGACTCTTATCCCCAGCATCAGAAATACGAATCTTTAGAAGTAAAACTCCATGAATATAGAAAAGAAATAGAGAAGCAGCTTCAAGCAGAAATGCATCAAAAGGTATAACTCTGGTCTATGAATTTGAGGGAGACATTTGTTAATTTTGACTTTGCACTTCGCAAACTTTTAATACTTTTTTGAATTGTGCTTAGAAGTCGGTGAATCAGGACTGTAACCTGATTGTGGAATCACTCTTTATGTGGAGTTACATGTTTTGCATTTTTTTTGCCAGTCCAGATGAATTTCTGTGGTTGCTGAGCAATGCAGGACAGGTCTGTTTCTACCATTTCTTGAATCACTTGTTTTGTGTAAGATGTGCTTTGGGATGCCAGATAAACACATGAAAAGTATGTGAGATGTGCAAGTAGTATGTGCTGCTAAGATACTTTTATCACAGTAGTTAATTTTTATCAAATTAGCATCTCCTAACTAGATTTTGGAGGTGAAATTTAGAATTGTCTTAGAGTGGATTGATTGTCTTTGTCAATTCTAAAATGGTCCTGCTTAGCCCTCTCTTCCTCCTTTATGTAATAGCTGAAACATTTTAAAGAAGTTGAAATAGCAAAGATTAAAATGGAGGAGAAAGTGCAGACCGAGAAAGAAATCTCTGAGCTGCGTCACGAGTTAGAGAAGACACATCAAGCAAAGTCTGAAGCCTTGATTTCGCGTGAAAAGAATGCTATTGAGAGGCTTCAAAAACAACAAGAGGTAAAGTTCCAAGTATTTTTTCCTTAATGTATTACAAAATGATTCAGTGAGTTGGTGAGACTGTTCTTTTGTCTTTTGGAGATTTACCTTCAGACCTTACTTGACTTATTAGGGAAAACTTTGAATTTACTTTTGTTCTCATTAATAGGGGAATGCATTTAGCAACTGCAAGAATGAGTACGTTTAAATATCTAAGTAGAGGTGGCTAGAAAAGGAACAGTTCTGGAAACTGGGATTAAAGGATCTAAATGTAATAAATACTTTGAAATCTGTTTTAATAGTTTTGCTAAATTCAGATCACTGATTTTTTTTTTTTCCATGGGAAGTTGAACATAAGTTTTTAGTTAAACTTTAAGTTCTTTTAACTGCTCAGAAGGACTTGAACCTAAATGGAATACATAGCCTGTATGGTACAGGTAGACCATTTCTGTTTGTCTTTATATGTTGAATATTTTGAATAACACTGTCTTTACTGGCGTTACTCTAAGCTGGCGTCTCCATTTGTTTCTATGAACACTTTGTGTTCAAAAGCCCAACTGCTTTGGGCTCTTAACTCTTGGTGTTTTGCCAGGGTAGTAACTGTTGCTATAGCACACAATAATTTGTAGGTAGTTCTCAATTGCTTATCTCAGTCTCTATTAACTCAGTCTTTGAGAGAATAGTTTGCTCTCCTGTTGCCTGTTTGCCTGGCTACCCCCCTGCTCTCTGCAAAAGACCTTCATATCCAAATAAGAGTTATCCGCAAATGCTAACCGTATTTTTGCTTTATTGTGGTGGTTTTTTTTGTTTTGTTAGTGTCTTGTTTTTTTCCCTAAGAACATGTGGTATTGGTTAACAAACCAGTCATACAGGTTTCTGTATGGATTTTTGTATTACTATATTATTAAACATTTTGTCACTATGCCATGAATTTATTTCATGGTTATGTCCGTAGATGCTTACATGAAAACCATCTATTTTATGCTATCAGTCTTCTTTTGTGGGTGTGAAATTAATTCAATAATTAAAAAACCCACATCAAATTACTAGATCAACATAGCTGTCAAGTATTGTGTATGAATAATTAATTTCTCTTGTCAGCTTCTGAACTCACTGAGAATGTTTCATTTACCTGGGGATTCTTTTAACAGAGTTCAGGTGTATTTACATTAAAGGTGTCAGGTCATTTAACCCTTTACTGTGATAACTTGGAAATGTGGCTTGAGGAACTGGTCCATTTTTTTTGTACCAGGAACAGCAACTGAATCTTTCAGCACTG